CCAGGTAACGTCTTTGGTGGATGAAACACCAAGCGCATACCAGAGCTAAGCACTTATATAAAATAACCAAGTCAGTTTATTTCAGAACAGCTTGAAAGCAGCATTTGGTTACATCTCAGCCCTGCAAACAGAAAACCATTTCTTACAATGCAGAAAGTGTGATTTCTCCCTGAATGTAGTTGTGACACCAGTCAGCACTTCCAGACCAGCCATTTATAGCAGACATCCTACTGACAGGTTATTTCAAACACTGGCTCTTTGGACTGTGATCATAAAGGAAAATAGAGATTTTTATCATAAAAAATATGCATGGGCTCAACACCAATTCATCACAGCTGAGCTTAAAGGCTCACTCTTCAGACCTTTATAACAATTCCTGGAGACAAATGGAAAGTCATTTAAGTATCAGCTGACACATCCCAGGGGACGCCTTCCCCTACCTGGCCGTGCAGCCCGGCAGCTCAGTCAAGCCTCTGCGGCCCAGGCACTAAGATGCTAACAGCCCACTTCGTGCTCCAAGAGTTCAGCAGAAAAACATAATAAACACCTTTTACCAGAGAAGGAACTTCACCCAAGAGCACTGCTGTTTTCAGTCATGTGAAGCTGTAGTCACAGGCTCAGGAAAGTAATTTCTCACTGTTTTAAAATTCACTAGAGAAAAAAAATCTGAGAAGTTTAGGTTTGGAGAATTCCTAGTTTAATGCTTAACACGATGTTTTATTCCTCTTGTCATTTAGGTCTTTGTCATACATAGAGCAGATACTGTATCACTGAAGTCTAAAGTTTCATTAATAACTTCACTCACAGCAGATCTGAGGCCCTGGATAATTCTTTAATGGCATTTAAATTAAATTACTAGAAATAGGATATATTTTTGTTTGAAAACAGTGATTAACTAACTTTGGTTTCACAAGCTTTGAAAAAGGTATATAGAACTGTTTGCACTGAATACATATTTACATTAATGTCAATAGGGATCAGAGGGCTGAGATAATTATTTCTCTTAAATCCGCCAAGAACAAAACACATTGCCTTAGAAACCTGGGGGCGTGGGGGTCCATCTGTCACCTTTGAGTAAAGGCCAAGACACCTTTATTTACCTGTAACTTAGATATCAGCATAGGAGTCTCACCCTTGAGTTTCAACAAATTGAGCTACACTTGACAAAATACCTCCAACGTTTCTTCTCTTTGAAGTAGCAGTAACAGGCTGTCCACCACTGCATCCAGCCCACAGCTGCACTGGGCAATATTTTGCAGCATGTCAGCTCCCAAACAGGATAGCAGAGCAGTTGCTGACATTAAATTGGAAAAGCAACCATTTTATTCCCCACCTATGCCCATTCTCCTCATTTCTCTGCCCTCTCCAAAAAGATCCAAGCCTCTACGAAACCCACCCCCCAACCAACCAAAACCAAAAAACAGAAGCAAACAAACTGATATAATCTCTTTCTTAATTTAGAGGCATCACTACCATGGCATTTTCATTCCTGGGGTATAAGTAGTGGGAGAGGCGTCTCTGACCCTGACATTAGGGAATTCACACACTAAAGAGGCACCAGACAAAACCGGAAGAAGCCAATGCTGAGTTTTCAGCTAATCCTGGAATAAGATAACCCCCAAATGACACCAGGCATCTGGAAGTTGTCTGCAGCATGCATCGACAAATTGTTTTCAGAATTAGACAAAAATCAAATAAGAAAAAAAAAATTGAAATAAAAGCTCTACAGACAATTAGAATAGAGGCAATAGATTTTGCATTACTGAAAGAATAAAGTCAGTTCATCCCTACAGACCAATTCCAAATCATGTTTTGCAACCATCTGTTGAAAAGGCCATCTGGTTGCACTGTGGGCCCCGAACCATCTCGCATCTTTGGGGTGCACTAAACTGGATCCTGAAATTTTTCTTCACACTGAAGATCTTTTCATAGGCTAGCTTCAAGGGTTGATTTCAGAAAGTTTCTCAAAGTAGGAAGGCAAGCGGTCACCTATACAAGGGACTTTTAACATTTCTCCATGAACGTAATAGTTTGGGGCAATTTTTGAGAGTGGATCAGATGCTAGTTAGCACACTGAACTCAGCCCAAGGAAATAACAACCGCAAATCATGGTGACTGATGTCATTGGACAGCAAAGCTTCCTTTGATGCAGAGGAAAGCATTCTTCCTGAGGGAATAAGGGGAAAAGGACAAACACAAAGTGGAAAAACCCTACACCAACCACCAAAACGACATGTCAGAGTACCGGGAGACTCCGCGTGCAGGCGGCGGGCGGAAAGCCCCCATTTTAGCACTTGAAATGCCAACTGAAAATTCCCAAGTAAAGCCTACAGAAATACCCAGAACCCCCGAGACACAGCAATGAGCCCCTGAGCGGGAAACGGCGAGAGCAAGAGCTAGGCCTAGAAATGGGGCGAGCTCGGCATTTCCAAAGGCTCCCAGAAAGAGACTGCAGTGGAGTAAGAGTTCAGTTCAGATAACAACATCAGATCAAACCCACTCGAGTCATGATTTTTAGAATAAATAAATGAAGCCAAACAACCGTTATGAACTGGTAGCGATCTCTAACCAGCACCACACACGCGTTCTCGGGCTTGGTGAAAGGCGAGAGGTGGCTCCTGATGCCCACAGAGGCATTCACCGCCCAGGAGCTGCTCACGCCTGCGCTTTCTCCTGCTTCGGCCGATCTGAACCCGGAGCAATAGAAGACCTACTGCTCCATTTCAGTGTCAAAAACATCAAGCTGAAAAATTAAGAATTCAGTAGATGGTACTTCAAAAGCACTTTTTAAAGACAGTATTTAAAAAAAATAAAATCCATGAACTTCTTCTGAGAACAATGCGAGAACAGAAGAACAAAGGAGTATTTTAATCAACATCTCCACACGCTGAACATTTCTCTAAAATGCCAAAATTTTACAACAAGAATCACATCCCTGGCTGGAGTAACCGCACCAGAAGAGTGGTCAAAGCTCAGTCATCCTACGCGTAGGAGAAACCTCCACAAAAGTGAGCAAGACTGTCAATATTCAATATTGTCTAAACCAGACACTCCTTGTCCCAAAATGTTATATTCAAACGTATACTTAAGTGAGAATAAAATGTGTGGTAAAGCTAAAATAATGAAACTATAGTCTTGAGTGAAGATCTTTTCAGGAGATTATTTGCTTTTCCTTCTGACACATTTTAAACTGACACATCAGGAAACTGAGCACTGAAGTAAACTCCGTCCAACCCCACCAAAAGAAAGAAAAAAAAAAATTAGTTCTCTGAAGTCAGATTATTTTCTGCTTTCAAACAAACAGGGTTTTTACAACAAATCCTTCTAAGTTAGAACAGCGTTCACAAAGCTTTAAATTTCTCTGAGTGGGCTTCTGAACTGTCATTGCTGGTTATTATTAGTAGGCACAGAAATTCCCATTTTAATTAGAAACTTTATTTTGAAATACATTACACAGTTTACATGTGAAGTGCTTTCACTGTAAGATATTTCATAACATTGTGCTGAGCAAAATGGCTGACCAATTTCCTTGAAGCTCTTCCAGTTATGTTTTGTTTTTATTAAAACTATCTTACAGAACTAAGATGCAACTTAGGCATTTGTATTCATAAGCTAATTACTATGTTTACCTTAGGGAAAAGATATCTACTTAACCATTCCAATTAACTATGTGTTTCAATAATGACGTTAAGCATTTGGCATAAGACTGAAAGAAACCCGAGTCCTAATTAAACCTGTATTCACCAAAGATTAAAAAAAAAAAATAAAAATCTTCATGATCAAACTACTTTTTTTAATAAGGCACAGTCAGACAAGTATTTATAAAGACTGGCTACCAATTCAGTTTTACCTGCACAGCCTTCCTGCTGGTCCATCAAACGTAATCTGAAAGTTGTTTTCCCTGTCTGCTGCTGAGACTTTTCAAGAACAAGGCAGAGCAGTAAGGCAACTAAAAGAACAAACATGCAAAGGACTTTGGCATTTGGTATGGATTCTGAACATCTGCAAAGTAGTTCATTTTGTAAATGGAGCATTCACCTGTCATTATTAAAATGGTGGCCAACCGTGATAAGGAAAACAGAAGTGGTGCAAGCAGTGCCTGTTTGCATAAGGGTATTTTAATAGGAATAAACAAGATGTCTGGTATGATTTCAGGTGAAGACTTTGCATGCAGCAATTCAAAGATAACCTAAATTGAATTCTGAAATTCCCCTCTGCCACTCAGAAAAGCTGAATGTACCAGGAGGTTGCTTGACAGCAGGTGAAATACCAGGGAATGAAATCTCCATTTAGATAATGAGCCAGTACTGCCATCCTACTTTGCATTTCTTATTAGAATGAAAGGAAGCCTTCAGGAATGGTAACTCAAATAATTACACCATTATTTTGGCTGGAAGAAAGTTCAAGAACTCTTAAGATGTGATGATGTTTAAAGAACATGAAACAATTCTACCCACAGTCAAAGAATACAGAATAAAAAATAAGAGAAGCCTTACTTTCCCCTCCCCATTAAATCTCTGAGGAATAACTGCTTGAGCTTAGCAGTATATGGCTTCTGTTGCCTCTGAATGCTTGACAGATACTCTAAGAATTATCATTTTCAAGCTACTGTTTGTTTTCAGTTTTAAGTCATTTCAAATAAAAATACTGCATCTATTTCACTTTAATAATCAAACTGAGCATAAAAACCATTAAAAGTGTATTTCTAATACAAATTTGTATCACACACTAAAATACTATTTTATAGCTAATTGTAAAACAAAAAGAATTAAAATATATAAAAGTTTTTTAAAAAGTCTTTTGCACAGCTGAACTCATAGTGCAGGTTTAAGATTTAAAAAATCTGTAAATGAAGTAGTCATAACAAATGCTGAATATAAAATACATTCTAAAATATTTTACAGAATGGCTGAATTACCAAGCATAAGAACTGAGGATAAAGGATGTTAATGACAAGCAGCCACATACAGAACACAAAGCAATAAGTTTAAATCAGACTATTTTGGTTTGTGTAGCCCTTTATTAGCAACTAAAATAGAAGATATCTGTTGTACATCACGGGTAGTAACTGACTATACTGGAGTTTTATTATATTCTAATACAGGATCATTTATAAATGCATTGTTTTCCTTTTTTTTTTTTCTTTTATTAAAAAGCTTCCACCCCTTTTTCCATTTACAACTTGCAAAACTATTCTGAAAGCTGAGTACATGTGCACAGGTCTGCAAAGAGTGCAAATTTAGGATATGGTAAATGCTTTACATGTTGTATTTGTAGGGACTGTCTACCACCATGCCTTCATAGCCATCATCATTTAAAAAAAAAATTAAAAAAAATTTAAAAAAAAAAAAAAAAATCACAAAATGTTTCAATACCAGCCTTCCTTCCATTGTCCTAAACAAGAAAGCATTTTTAAATGAGTTGAAACTAAGGAAGGACTACACCTACTAGAAAAGAAGAGAGTTCTATTAGTTTGAGGTTTCAGTATACCCAAAGACCAGGGACTGTATCTTTGTAAGGGCTAGGCTGGGACCCCGTATACAGAGCGTGTGCAGGTGCCATCCCTGAGCATTCAGTGGTTCAGTGGACCATAAGTGCTCCAGCCGCATAACTCACTGAGCTGTCTTGCCAGTTTCGACACTGGCTTGACTGAGCATAATTCAAAAATGAAAAGCTCATATTCATTCCATTCTTCTGGAGCTCGTTGATAGCCTGAAGAGAGAAAAAACAGGTGTTTAAAAAAAAAAAAGGTATCTGTGAAATTATGACATTTTCTAGATCTCAGTCCTCTCTCCTCCCTCCAGGGGTCCTTGCACATCTCTCATAGTAATATAAGCACCTCTGAGTAATTTGTGGACCTAGCCCATTTCTGTGCCGTTTCATTTACTGACACTCCCCCTGCTGCACTACGTACATCCATGCAGTTCTATCAAGCAATACTAAACAACCTTTCAAAATAGATCCTTTAGAAACAATGCTTTCAGTTCTATAGGGAGTTTATACAGAAACACAGATGTAACAGAACAGAACCCAACTTTTTAGATCACATTTCTGCCATTAAGGAAAAAGAATGTATGAAGATGATTTATTAAAGTGTGACAATTGGCGAAAGTGAATGAACAGAATTTAGGTCAGATTCACTGCAAAACTAATCATTTTCTGAGGTTAAGAGTTGGATATTTTTGCAGAGTTGTCATAGTACTAAGTTTTGATATATGCATCCCCAATATTGATATTGCTCATACAAACTTTTATATACTCCACTTTAAAAGGTTCCTCTATATGTTATCCATATAGACTACATTTCCAGGGAATTAGGTTTTCCCTTTTAAAAAGGTTAACATGCTTCCTGTTTCAGATTTGAATTACAGTAAAAACACAGTAAGATTCACTCAAGCAATATGACAAATCTGCAGCACTCCAGCAGTGCTGTAAAGCAGCTGTGACCCAATTTAGACAACTAAGTTAAACCAGTTTATGTCTGCACTGCATCACCAAAGCAGAATACAGTAACTAGAAAGTACCAGTTAATCTGAATTCTACTTGCCATTAATTTATGAGTTAATGGTGCACTGCACTAATACTTACAGATGCAATCTCTCATCATATTTGCAAAACTCAAAAACGCTGCCAGACATCACAAGGCACTCACAATAGCTAGCTAATAGCAATACAGAAAAAATATATACGTTTTTAAGTACTGATTCAAAAGAGAAAATATGTACTTCTTCAGGGAGATAGATTTATATGTTTGTTTATTTAGGGCCAAGAGAAAGTGAATTATTGTATTTCATTGAAATTCAAAAGGAACGTGGTACCTCATCTCCCTTAGGGAACTGAAGACCCTCAGCCCTTGTAAGAGCTTACATTTGTCTATATGCAAGACATGGAAATTGGAGACCAAATTGAGAACACTTGGAAAAATAAATTAAGACTTGTCATTTTACAACTAAGGAATACTCCAGCAATATTGTGTTTAAAACAAATGTAAGCATTTTGCCCAAAGTTACATTTTTCAACAAATCAAAAGTTACTTACGTTTAATAATACGCCAATAGGATGTCTTCCACATATTGTATTATGGTATTTCTTCAAGTAATTGCTAAAAGATACAGGATCTAGCTGCTCTATAATGCTCATACCCTGAAAAAAAAATTGATAGCAATGATTACTTCACACATTCATAAGCAGGTGTTTATACACCACCTATTATGACAACACAGAATACTTCAGGAGGAAAAAACCTCCACTTTATCAAGGGTATCAAGGGAATCTCAGCATTTGAGCTCTAGCTTGTAGTCATCTTGTTGCCATCCCTTGCCAAACTAAAAGTGCAGGAGCTCTTCCAAAGCTGTCAATGATCCACAGATCTGTGAAGCTATCTTTGCAGATACCAGTGAAGCTCATGTTAAAAAAGCTCCTCCCGCAGACTAGCTGATCCCCACCTCCAAGGATGCCCTACTTCCATAGGATTTTGTACAGCAATAACCAGATAAATTTACTAAAAGGGCAAAGCAGGAAGAAGTTTTGCCTCCATCTCCTCTACCTGATAACAGGGCTCAGGGCTGAGCACCTGCCTGGGACTTCTGGATGTCCAAAAACCCTAGACAAATCATCAATATACACACATGCAATTCAAGCACGTAGCAAGTGTAATATATCCTAGACACATCAAGCTTGCAAGGCAGTTGTTCTGGGCACAGGCTGGCCATCTGCTCAGAGCATAAAAAACAGATCCAGAACATCTCTAAAGCACTAGAAAGTTGGTGCACAGCAGAAACATAAAAGCCAGGAGATGACGCTTCCACTTTACAAGAGGCAGTCACATATATACATCCTTTTCTCCATCCACAGTAAGACCCATGATCCCATGGAGTCATACTATGAAAACCAGCACATGTATGGAAAACAAAACCTTCCACATAAACATTTGCATTCTTAAAAGCAAAAAGAATCCTACAACTCCAGATACAGCCTACTCTTACCCCATTCCACAGAGTAGATCAAATACAGTGAAAGTAGTTTAAAGCAAGTCTAAATCAATTATTGTCCAGGTTTTCTCATGGCTTTGCAATTTTGCCTGTATTAGACTCCATTCTCTTGTGTTTTTCCTTCTTCTGAAAATGATTAATTCCCTTCACCAGGTAAATGAGCTCCAGACACTCCCTAATTCAGTAAGAGACATAGCTGTGCTTCTTACATGTAGCTGATGAAACTGGAAAGTTTTCCTTAGAGACTGAAAAAAATCCATACACTTTGCATGGGAACAACTGGAGACTGATATTAGAAAAGGAGAGAATTTCTCCTAAGGTTTCTGCAGTTGTCCCAGCCCCTTCCCCTGCTTTTGGAAAAGTATGGGTGATAAAAGGAGAAACCACGGTGCAGGAAGCAGTCAGTCTGTCTAAAGACTCCACCTCAAGAGTGAAACCTCTTGAATACTCTGCAAGGGCGTTGGCTGATCTGGCAGATACACTTAATTATTCAGACTGGATCACAGTTTACAATGGAGGAGCTTGAGATTCCCAGGAGAGTCAGGGAGGATTAGGAAACAGCAACCATAACCACCACCTTTATGTACTTTTAATTAAAAACAGACATAAGATGAATTCATAAAGAGATAAATTTTATGGAAAAATAAAACCAAACTATGCTGACCAATTGCTGGCAAGAGCTCAGTTCTTCCAGGGTCATGGAGGGGGTGTTTGGACCCCTGGCTGGTAATTACAGCTGTTACTCACTCCAGATCTACAGAACCTAAATGAGTGCCAAAAAAATAAAGGTAGCTATTCTCTAACTAGCAGTCATTACATAGATAACCATTGCATTTCTAAAGTTTAAACAGCATGTCTTTGAACCATTCATTTACTTGTAAATTGTACATGTCAATACACAGCTAAAGAAAGCAGAACCAAACTTAACTATATACTCAAGTGAAACTAAACACGCATTATTCAGATACTGAACAGCTCAAGAGAATATATTTTATCCATTTGTAAATCCTTTCATGACTTCCTAAAAAATGAAAATGGCTGCTCCATTGAGAGACTCATTTTATAGCTGTAAGTCACTGGAACATACTGGGCAAAGGCATTTGAGCATTTGTCTCAAATGAATGGACATGGATTTATCAGAATGCCTAGTAAGCTTATTTCAATGCACAGTTCAGCACTGCAAAACATTTAGAGCTATGCAGTTCATCCCAGAAAATGCTAACAGAGCTCCATACATCACAGATTGGAGAAAATCCATAGGAAATGGCTATTAACACATATCCTACAAGCACTCAGCTATACTGAACTTTTCAATCTTTTGGATTTAAAATTCATTGTGGCAGAGGAGCAAAGACGACCAAACTTGTTCCTCAGTCTAAAATGGTGTTGAGGAACAAAGGAAACATTTTTGTCAGGTTGTATTTTATTTTTCTAAAAAGCAGAAGTATGAAGCTAATCATTTTCAGTATTCAGAATAACTCAGCTGGGCATTGTTTAAAAGAGTTAAAATACATGACAAAACCCACATGATAAAAATGCAAACCATCACACGGTTCTGCAGTTTATCACATGGTTATTATGGCACCACATAGAAATTGCATATCTCAGTTAACCAGACAACTGTAAATGGCATCTACAATATCCTAGCACAGTGCACGTAATATGATTAAAAGCAGTTACATTCTTAAATGCCATCTCCTATAGGATCAAGTATCTACAAGCTTACAAAACCAAAACAAAACACCCACAAAAAAAACCAAAACAAACAAACAAAAAACCCCAACCCACAGGCTTATTTTATACTATACTCCAATACTGCTTTGGCTAGTTAAGTTTAAGTTTGCAATCAGTTACTTCAGCTGCTTCTTCAGACTTAAAAAAATATAAACCAGTAGCACGCTTATGGAAGTAGAAACAAACTTGGTCTTAGCACTAGCCATTCCAACTCTCTTTGCATGTGTGAGTCACTCAGACTAGAAGATAAACAACCAACAGGAAAATTACTGGCTGGGCACAGCAGAGAGAGCAGGGTGCTGGCCATCCAGGCAGAGAGTCGTGGTCTTGCATTACGCCCAAGCTAAGAAGCCTTCCCAGGCTGGAGCACTGTGGAAGGTGCTGACACACCGTAGTGGCACTTGCAGAAGCCACCAGAATTCAGCAGTTCATCAGAGTCACCTGAGGAGCCACTCGTGCTGAGCACAGCTCCTGCACAACAACTGCTGGCTGTTCCTGCATGGCTCTCCTCACCCGCATTATCCTCTCCCTTCAGCATTCAGGGTAACAGAATCCTCCTATTGACTCAAGTGAGGCATAAGGTTTCACAAAGAGATATAAAATGAGCAACCTGGCAATGAAGACTGAAGCGAGCAGTCTGCATTTTCTGGCTAGCCGTAATCAAAAAATAATTACTCTTCAACATCTTACAGAATACTCCCCGCTTTTATTTAAAAGATGGTAGGTATCAGGTTATGATATACAAACAAATTATTGCACATCAGCTGCTCAATGTAACTCTTCATTTGAGGATTCTTCCCTCAGGTATCCCTATTAACCATGGGGCTGTTTACTCCTTTCACCATCAATTCACAAGGTACACTGTGGTACCCCCAGGGTAACAGTGGTCACATTAAGAGTTACCATGGAGAAACCGATGTCTGCCCAGCAATATTTACTACTCTGTATTATTTTTATGCTGGAGTCTAAGGGCTCTAACTTAAAATCACAGCAAATAAGATTTCTCACAGCGGTTACCAGGTTAGTAAATCTTCAATGCCCAAAGCGTTTAGCGTTGTTTATGCACTAGCCAGGAAAATCATCGTGCATCTGTACTTAAGGTCCAGTCTAAATAAAAAAAAAAAAGAGACCATTGTCCTCCCACAAAGGCATTTCTAAGGAAAAAGAAATTTCACCTTAACCCAGAATATCTTCCTGCTTACAAAGCGCTCACCCAACTGCTTTCCTAGTTAGGTCCAATAAAATTATTGGGCCAATAAGAGTAGAGGTTAAAACCTCTAACGGTTTTAGTACAGTTTTGTCTCTATCTTAGTATTATTTTCTCTGTGGAGAGGCCTGGTGGTTACAACAATATGAGTTTCTTTAGCATGCCAAATGACATTAAAAAATTCAATACTTATCTAAGGAAACAAGAAGTAGCTGAGTGGGGCATACAAAATTGAATAAACTCCTTCCAAAAGCTGGAGAAACGTGATAGGGAGATCTTTGTGGCATTGTGGATAGCATCCCAAGTGTACCCACAATACTGCTAAAAAGAAATTTCTGAAATTCACCGAAAGTAAAACCTACTCTGTACAAAGTTTGAATACGGAGTCATGTGTTCAGACATGGCGTTATATAAACAGGCAAAAAATAACCACAGTATACTGCTACACAGCATGTTTAGTTTTCCAGTTAAACTTAAGACTGAAAAAGTATTTTCATAGTTATTAAACAGTAGATATCACTTTCAATGTTACAAAAAATGTCATCTCCTTTTGGCTGAATAACTACCAAAAGAAAGAGCTGGTGCAGCAACATACTCACTAGAAGTAATTAAATGCCAAAGTCCAGTCTTTCTACAAGCTTTCACCACAGAAGTTAACAAGGGGAAACTAATGTTTGGTAATGCACCTTAATCTGTTCTCCAGCAAAAAACACTCAGAGCTGCAAATTCTGGGACTCTCTAGAAAAACACGTCTTTATAGAGAAACTTCTCAACTGACAACAAGAATTATTAAAAATGGGATAAACAGAATGAAGGCAAATTATTTACTGTTTCCATTCCAGTGATGAATAGTGGAAAAACAAAGAGATTAATATGGATACACAAAGCAAAAAACTCCAGAGATGTCTCCAGCAGATAGGATTTATTCCTTTAAGACAAGGAAAAAAATTAACATGCCCCGAATAATGACAGTTTTCTCTTCTAACACATTTTACAGAAGTTACATAAATGATCCAAATAGTTTTAAAACAGATTTTAAGGTTACGTATTTCCAGAAGAATTACTTCTATTCCGTGCCTTAAGTATAGTCTTGAATGCTAACACAATTTTTTCATTTAAAAATAAATCTTTGGCTCCTGTGACTGTAAAGAAAATGCAACAGAATTGGCATTGTGATGTTTATGTATTTAGCATTCCTTTCAGCCATTTGCCAAACCCAGAATGAAGTATGGTCTACTGCTTTTCCCCACCACCTACTACAGAATAAGGGGCAAGGGGAAGACTACTCCCAAGGAAATGGCCCTACAGTCTCTCCTCCTCAAGATGGATGTTGCTGAAACCATTAGCATAATCACAATGCTGTTTCAATATGCAGGTGTGATAGCTATCAAGCCTGAACTAACTACCACAATACTCGATTCATAACTCTTACTGTTTCTCTAAAACATGAGAGGATATGTGGACAGGAATTATATTACACTAGGGCATTTTAGGTAGGTGAACATGCATTTATTCTCATAAATTATGCTTACTAGATTATACCCGCAATATATTGTGCGCAGTCAGTAAAATGGAGGATACTAGCTAAAAACAATAGCTAACTTCTTATTGTGGTAAACAAAGGAAAAGTATACATTCAATAAAATAGCTAATCTATAATATTTTGTTAGAGAAATTTCTAAAGTGTTCAAAGAAATGTAATGTACAGGAGAAATTTGTTAGTTATTTCCACCAAATCTGAAAACTTACCATTTTATCTAGGTGCTCAATGGATCTATAAATTTCTCCTTGGGATTCATCATAGTAACTGTAACGGAACCTCTGACCTTGAAACAAAAATCATGTATAAAATAAAAAAGGGAAAAATCGTAGCTAAAACACTCCCTAATACTTACTAAATAATTGAAATTATAGTATTTGTAAAGTAGTAATCTTCAGTTATTTTATACTTTTTAGCTCCACCGAGAAAATTCTAGGGCAATCATGAAAGTAGCAGCCCAGAAGCAAAGTAAAAAATACATGACGGGCAGCTATATTCCTAAAGAAAAACCTACTATGTAGAACTGACACTGCAGTATCACTTATTAATTGCCTGTCATTGCCTTGGAATCCAATCTATAAATTAAAAAGTAAAGCAACATTTCATTTTGCTATCCCTCTTGACAAAGTCAACTCTGGAGTCAGCTACTTCTGCTTTCACAACAATACCCACAGTAAATGAAGGTTAAAAGAAAAAGTTCATGATAATTCAATGAACAGTTCTAGATGATTCATTAGCCACAACAGAACTCAGGTCATTCTTATATACCTCCACCTATTCCACAATTCAAAGACGAGTAAAATATGCACTTAATTACGTAAGTTGACCAAAGATGACAATAAAAAAAAGGGAAGAAGGTCTGTTGTGTAACATAAAACATATCTTTCTGAAGCAGTCCCTTTTCCAGCTATTATCACACTTAAAAGAAAAATAAAGTGTTAAAGCAGGACAGAAGTCAAGGCTTCTGGAGTCTTTATAGCTCTGCCACCAAGATGAACTGGGATAGCTCTGGTGAATTGGCATAAATACTCCATCTGCTATCTTACCCAGCAGTAAAATGTACAAAACTTAATTCCGTCAGAGGGATGTTGCCATGTCCAGTGAATTTTTAGCTAATTAGTTTTGCAAGTTGCTTTGAGGTGCTAAAAGAAGAGTAAAAAGAGCAAGAAACTTCAGACGCTTATTTCATTGCAACAGTAAAGAGATGCCTATGAACCCATACACCTTCACCATTTATTTCCTCCACTACACTGAAAACACATTAATATTTTTCATCTATTGTTTCAGATTAAAAAAAGAAAAATCCTTTTTTAGCTTTACAGAGGCATTTAAGTTTGAAAGATACATTTGCCAGAAGTTAAAATGTTCAATGTTTAATAAAATACTTTATTTGAAAATCACTACAAAATATTCATCATACTGTTATAATGAAGAGATGTGCAACTTACCCCAATGGCAAAAGTCAGAAGAAACCACAAAGAGGTTACTAGGATCAGCTAGGTATTTACTGAAGAGTTTTCCAAATTCCTGCTCTTTTGACTCACTCAGTGCTCCGACCAACACAGGAATAATAGTAAACTCATCCTTATGGCTTATAAGCAAAAGAAAAGAGGTTGTAATTCAAGTAACAGCTGAAGTTTTTTCAGGGCTTGTTAACTGAAATTGCAGTATGTTTTAAAAGGGCACTACAGTGTTGAAGATACAGTTAATTTGGTAAGCTCATACTAGGAAGTTGGTTTAGAACCTAAAACTACTTCAACTTCAGGAAACAAATCCCCCCCACCAAACAGCATTTATCTTTGCTGCAAAGTGAAAACACCAGGTGAACAAAAAGACAAGACATAATGAAACCAGCACCAAAGTAAGAATGAAATTCTCCTTGTAGAGATGCTGTACAAATGTTGGGTAATTTTCCAACGTACGTGAAAATGCTGAAGGTAGCACCCAGATGTACACTGATATTCCAGGGAAAATTAAAAATACTATGAAAGACAAGTTAAAAAAAAAGATGGGGGGGGGGACGACCCAAACCCCACCACAAATTGACAAAAATTATCACCTTTAAAGAAAAAAGTACTCAAAGTACTCATCTGAAAGAACAGGTATAAACAGAACCTCTATTTCAAAATTAGTATTAAGACTCCAAACAAACTTTAAATCCCACAGAAAACACCTATTAGTATTTGCACTTCTTTCAGAGATGCCTTGCAAAGAGCTATTGAGAAAGATTCATGAAAGCATGTCTAATAATAACTCTATTAAACCAATATAAACATACAAACTTGTTTATAAGGGGTGTTCCAATTTCAACATTCAGGTGTTTGCTCCATTCACAGTTTTATTCCAGCAACTAATCCTAGTCTCCGACCGTCTCCTCCCTCAAATTTTTATTGGGGGGTGGGGAAGTGTGAGTATTAGACACCATATAGAGTATTATATACCATAAAGGGTATTATTGCTTCCTACTGCACTTCACATGTAGTTCAAACATTTAATGCACATAATACTCATAATTCCTGTAGAAGAATTAATTAGCCTTATTACCTTTCCATGGCTTTAGCAGTGTAAGGCAAATGCATTTCAATACTGTGTTCATCTTCATCTGTCTGTAGGGACATACGCTCAAACATTCCAGTCTTCCACAATTCTCCATAAACTGAAATGAATTAAAGATTAATTTTTACTACTTTTTTTTTTTAAACACTGTAAAGCAAGCTACAGTGCATCTTTAGCAGAACAACCCCACTATGCCAAATTACTTGCCTCCAAGGGCTGTCATCATAAACCACTTGTTTTTAAATAAATTCAGGATTAAGATTTTGTTCAAGTCATTAAGATACAAACATTAATTGATTCAGTTTGCAAAATAAGTGTGTTAAATCAGTGACACCTTGTTAGTATATTAAGAAAGAATATCAGTTATGATACAAAATATAAGTAACACAAATAAAACACATTTGAAAATATGCATGCATTTGCCCAGTCACTGAATTCTTATTTTCACAAACTATACCGTCATATGTTTAAAAAAAACAAACAAAAAAACCTGCTGATCAGCTGAGCCATTGCTGGATGTGTTACTATTTAATACAATTTATTATTAACGGAATCATGAAATCTAGAGACAGCGAAAACTGATTACGTAATCCACATTTGTAAGTTATCTTTTCTGCTCTCAAATGCGCTTGGTGGTATGCAGACTCATTATGAAAACTCTCCACTTGATGAAAAATTTGATGTAGGGCTGTGCCTCCTTCTCTACTCCATAAAGGAGTTCTACAGAAACCGAAACATTTGTTACCGAAGGAAACTTCTGCAGGCACTATGTGGAAAGCCTGAACTAGCTTGCTTAATCACAGTTATGATGAAATAGCAATACATCTGCACTAACTGAAAAAGATACTGTATTATTTACCTCAAAACACATGAAAGTCAAAATATCAAATTTATCTTCATTGCACCTTTAAGTTTAGTCTGAAAAACTGGTATTTCATGGATTAACAGTTTTAAAGTTCTGTAGGCACTCTGCCAGTTGAAAAAAGAGTCACATGCAATAATGCACCCAAATAAAAGCAGCTTTTTGTTCCTCTATTATTCCTCTATCAGAAATAAACTCAAACCAACTAAAGCACTATTTTTTTTGCAGACAGAGTACTTCACAGAATAATGGAGCATGTGTGTAGTGGGCTATTATTCAAATGTAACACTTTAATTTTGAGATCCCTTTTAAAGATCACTTGTCAAGAGGCACACACTCATAATGGAAAAGATGAGCAAAGATTGAGAATTCTTTACTTGCAAGAGCAAGAGAAATTATAAGGTTATAATATAGCAATGCCTGCAACTACCCTTCTTTCAGAAGTTAGCTTTCATTGCAGCAAAAACAGATTTATACTTGTATGCCACTTAAAAGCAATGAAGTGCCCAACAACAAGAGAGTCCTTGGCACTGCAGTACCACAGTTAACACTCAAGCCTCAGCAATCTTCAAGACGTAAGCTTTATCATGCACTTACTCTTTTGGTCAATTCGGAGATCATACAGAGGTGTTCTATAAATGTCCACACTGGAAAGTGCACATCGGGAAAGGGGCACGTGATGGGAAGGCCCAAGAATGAAAATTTTTCGGCTACAACAATTAACACAAAAGCCCACAATTTAGACAACTGCAATTTGTAGTACAGAGACTTGGTTTAGAGTAACAAGTTTAATAAAAATGTACAAAGTGATACTTTCTGGTGGTTACCAATAGTTTTACTTTGCTGTGTGTAAGACCACAGATCAATCCATAGCCTAGCCTTGCTTGGTAACTCAGAAATGATCATGAGATCAGTTCAGTAATGCTTCCCGTAGCCTTAAATCTCTTAAGCAGGTTATACATCAGAGGACAGTCATCAGCTAGAAACCTGTCTGACTGGACTCATTTGGAGGCTGAATGATGTGCTATAGTACCTTAGAACAGATCTTTGGATTCTCTCTTTGGACCAACACAACCTTCAGTTACACACCACTTTCAACAACTACACGTATGCGCCCTCAAATGAGGATTATGGATTTAACATCTATTCAGAGCTTTTCACTTATTTACTTGATTACCCTTACTTTAGATTTCACCAAATTCAAATTAAAGTCATTCTCGAATGCTGTTTTTATCCAGCTGTTGCATCAACAACAGAGACTTGGACCTGCACATTTGTAGCTTTAGCTGATACTGCAAGCTTTCACATGTCATCATGATGTTATTTCATCAAGTCCTCAGTTCCTGGCTGTTGATTAGATGTTAAGGGTCTCCTGCCACAGGACTTAAAGAAAAGAAAAAAAAAAAACACCAACCTATAGGAAATTCAGCTTTTCAAATTCAGGATCATATCATCTTGTTTCTGGCACTGAACTAAAGGGGTGGGAGACACGTAAAGATTTTTTTTTTCCCCTTACACGAGTGCTATACTAAAACATTTTACAAAGCTCATAAAACCAAAATATCCAAATGTGCAATACTTCGGCTGAAAGATGAACTCTAAACATCCCATGTGGTAAAATAGCAAATGATCCAAAAAAGTTCAATCAACTCCATGCCACTGAACCTGGGGAATGCAACTTGTTCTAGAAATTTTAGAGAAACTAGTTATCTGTCACACCGTAAGTTATCTTTACTTTGTTCACAATAGTTTGGAACCTATTGTCTTTGGAGAGCATTCCAACGTGTTATCTCATAAGCAACTGACAGACATAGCCAGTTTTTATATTAACATTGCAAAATACATACTTTGAGTAAATACTGGAGATGTTTTACATTTTTGTCATTTAAAAAAACATTGCGGTCAGCACAACAGAAAAGAATTATATTCCTTTAACCTAGAATAACTGGATTCATATTTTCAGAGGCAGGCACAGACTACAGTAGCGTGCTGGGTTTTTTAGTTTTTCTTTTTTTAAACTGTTGTGCTGCTAGAAACAAGTCCATTTAAAATTATTACAACAAGTAACTTTCACTAACTTCAAATATTATATACACACACTGGTCACTTTCTCCACAGCAGAAGAGAATCCTGGTAGCATTCAGCTCATAATCCTGCACTGAAAAACCAATGCAGAATCATGATCAAATATTTTAATACACTTAACAACCAAACAAAACCTCCCAACAAAAACAAAACAAAAAAAGAAACAAAGACACCCTGCGACCAGTAAAAAAAAAAACCAACAGCTTGGGCTTTTGTAAAAGCAGTGGAACATCAAACAATAAAGTAAATTAAATATTATTACCTGCAAAAAGAACACTTTTAACCCCTCCCTTCTAAAACGTTAGTTACCAATAATTCCTCAATAATTTTTGAAAATACTGCTTTACATTTTCAATTTCAACAATATTAGTTTTTTCTTTTGTAACATCCAAACAATTTGAACATTTGTGATGTTAAAACAGAAAGGATACATAAGACTAAAAAGAGTATAGAATTAAAATTTGAGTACTTCAAGGTGTAAGAAAGTACAGAGAACATTCAACTTCTCAGAGAACTGCAATGGCATTGTCTTACACTTTGTAAAGTAAAACTTTAATACTTACGTAATATTAGGATCCACTTGTTTGTAAGCATGGGCTGCACAAGATCCACAATAGGTATATCCTGCATGGCTGCAAATCAAGGTGTACAAAATGTTAACATGTTAAATATTGTTTAACATCTTAAATATGTTGATATTGCTATTAGATGGTAACATCTTAAATATTATTTGTCCCCAGTGAGCTAGAAACAGTGATCCAAAAATCAGCTCCTGAGAGAGCTGGAGAGCACTGTTGCAGTACTGACTGTACGAGACACATATCTGTCAAAGAACTATCCGCGACCATTTACTTGAAAGTTAGTAAGCCTCCAGGTCAAAGCACCTTTCATTACTCGTAAAAGATACCAGTAGGCACGCTACATAACTGCATATTATCAGAAGCTCATGATAATGCTGAGAGTGCAGACAGGGGACAAGGGAACAGCAAGCTGCTGGAGAAAGCTCTGCTAACCGCACTCAGTAACTGAATACAATGACAGTAGAGGGGTCTGGCAAAGAAAGACTACACATTACAGCAGATAAACAGAGAATAAAAATGCTCTGCCATTGAAGAAGAATACCTCAGCATTAGAATGAATGGGCACAAGGAAAGGAGCAGAACGCAGCATGGTAGCTGTTACTGCAGAGAATGCAAGACATGCTTTATTGTTTCCTATCACTCTGGCCTGGAGCCTTTCTCCACCTGTGTTCCTGTGTGCGCTCCAAAAACATTAATAATTATTCTGACTACTTGTTTCAAGTACCACATCCAAATCGTAAGACCTATTCCCCTCCAGACTGTTAAAAACAGGAGAAGACTCAGTTTACACTGCTAAAAGCATTAATTCCAGAGAACGTTCATTCCCCAGTGTCCCAGGCCAAGCGGCGAAGAAGAGCTGACAGTCACTCAGCAGCATGGCCGCAGCAGAAGGCCGTGCCCACATTGCACAGCGCGTGGGCAGTATCACCTCTGGAGCTCGGCTGGAGCGCCTGTGACCCTAGCTCAATAGTGATCGTTTATTTTGAGTAAGTATGTGCAACAACACAACTAGAGCTTTCCAAATGGTCTTTTTATACAGTGATACTGAGAATGAAACGCGCTGCAAGTCCTCGGACATACAGGATGTTTGAAGATACAAGTTCCCGATTGACAGGACTGGAGGATTTTATATTTATTTATACATATGTATGCTCGCATGCATGTATATTCACTCACAGAGTGATACCTGGAGCAAGTTATCCTCAAAATTACCCTGGGCTTTTACTTCTGTGTCACTTGCCTCACTCATTCTAAAGAGCTCATGAAGGTACTAACATACACACTAAGGGGATAAACAGGAGACTGGGACCTAGTGAACCAGCAAGGCATGTCATTTGACAATGTCAAAAAAGCCTTCTGAAATGCTCCCTCTGCTACAGCCTTCTTCAGTCTTTCACAAAAATATTATTAGCCATATCCCACTTTACAGGTGGGAAGACAAAGGCATGGCTAATGAAACAATTTGGTGAGACCACAGGAAGACCTCCAGCAATTCTGGAAAAAGAACCCAGGTTACCTATTCTGCAGGTGAAAGGCCTCTTTCCTGACATTCCTGCGAGAAAGACTAAGGCAGATGTGGAACAATTTCTTCTGCACATATAATACTGTTATGGAATACTTCAAACATTATGTCAATGCTGTGTTAGCACAGGAAAAACATCATATTTAAGGTGCTTTTTCTAGTGTTTCCTTCCAACTCATAATAAATTGTAATGACCAACATACTTTTCTTATTATATGTCTCAACTATTTTCAGGAAATTGCATTCTACCTGAATAGTTTAGATGATCCCCATTTCTGCTGTGGACAAAAAGCCCCAAACAAAACCAAACTAAAATAACAAAAGTAAACCATTTTGGATAGCTGAATAGTGTTTCATTACTTTTTGTTTTAAGCTTTGCTAAGTTTTGATTGGGGGGGGCAGAGATGCTGGAGTTTTGTTTGGTTTGTGTGTTTTGTTGTTTTGGGGTGGTGTTTTTTTTTTTTTAAATAGGTGTAGCTGTTCTATACTAGAAGTGCACTGAAAGAGCTGTCACCTTAGACTACCACTCCACTGATACACCTCTTACCTCTCTTACTGGATCACAAGTGAATATTATGTCTGCTGTCCATCAGCAAAAGGAAACTAATCATATACCAAAACGTGCACATTTCTTCCATTCTATGCCATATCCAAAATACTTATTTAGAAACCACACAACATTCCTTTCAGCTAAATACTAGCTTTCACCAGTTTTCAAAAATCACTCAAAATAAAGAAGCATTTAACCAATCAAGTATTATATGTACTAAAAACAGATTTCAAACTTACGGTGCAATAATGGCTCTAGCAGGTCTTTTTGTGGACTGTACTTGAGAAAGCCAGCCTTCTAGTTGTGCATTCAGCTGGGGTCCTATGAAGAGACAAGGAAATACTGAAGCCATAAAAGAAGCTAAAATACCTAAAGAATTAATAAATAAAGTCCAAAAATCCAACAGATTTAAAATAATCTTAAATATCAAAGCCTATGTTTAAATCTCAAAAAAAAACCCAAAACAAAACCAAAACCCAACCAAAACCAAACCAAACATGCCGGTAATGTTGGAGGTTACACTAGGAAAATTGCAACATCCTAGTCCAGGAAGTTCATTTATTGCACATCCAAACACGCACTTATTGTTTCTTGCTCTGTGGACTGATGCACATACTATTTCATCATTAGAAAGGATGGCTGCTGGTCTCAAAAGAGAGGCTAACAGGTGACTGATTCTTCCGGTAACCATATTTGCAGAATTCAAAAATAAAAATTAAGATGACCTATACCAAGAGAGCCCAATATGGGAAGATGATATAATACAAAGACCTTACAGACTGACATGATAGCAAATGGCTATGGTATTTAGTACTTTATTATTATCAAGCAAGCATAACAGCAGAACACAAAGGACACCGTAACCTGGAAAAACTGTAAATACACAGGAAAAAGCTAAAAGTGAGAAGACACCATGCTTATACTAATGCCTTAACAACTTCTGATCAATCAACATTTACAAGCATATCAACTTCTTGGCAACATTAACTTTGATAATTGGTCATCCAATACTTAACTTTTTTTTAAAAAAACTAAATTCTGTACCTCAACAAGTGGCAAACATTGTCAATTCAATTAGCTGACATGATAAAAATGCCTTCTAGAAATACAACATTAAAAACAAAACACATTTTGGTTATTTACCATCACAAAGAAAACTTTTTGATGTAAAGCTATTCCTGAAGAAGCAAGTCTGGCAAATACAGTGCAACATTCTTTATATTAAAGAACACAAACTTTCAAGAAAAACTCATTCAGCTGCTATTTTTACAAGTAACATATCATTAACAAAGAGAAAAATAGATGCACTTTTTTCAGTTGACACTATGCTTTTGACAGAACTGTATGTCAGCAGAGTTTATCTGTAAAGTATGGTGTAGTAAGCCACTTTTCTTCTACCATGCATGTTGTAGATTTTTGTATCTCCCCCATGCAGGTGTAAAACCACCAACTGCTAGAAGAAGTCAAAACCAAATTAAATGCCTGAAACTGTTTCACAGCTATGTTTCAAACAGCCCAAATCTCAAGCTGACAAGAAGCTAACAAGAACTACAGAGAACCAGAGCAAAGATGTCAACTTTTGCAGAATCCAATCAGTCAGTCACCAGTGATAGCCAAAAAGCTTTCTCTAGAAAACCTGAGGGGGTGGGGTATCAAAGCCACCATTTTTTATACAAAACTTAAATTCATGTGTTTCATTAAGAAAAAGGACAACTTCTGTGGCTGTAAAGAACCCTACCTTCTTACATGAACAAGGTGAACTCATGCAATGCTGTTTCCCTAAGCCTACAATCACCTTGAATATCTTAGTTGCTCTCTACAGTTCTAACAAGGCAAAAGAGTGACATTGATTAGCCACTGTCACTGCTGTAATAGTGACTTTGTGAAATTATGAAATTGTCAAAAAAAAACCCCAGACACCAGTTTTGCTCTGCTGCTTCTGTTGCTTGGTGAAATTACAAGCAGCAGAGACATGCAACAGAGATAAGGATAATGACATCTTAGAAAATGGATGTTGTTGTGGAGGCTAAGTAAAAATAAATAGATCTCTATTTCCATCCTCTTTCTAAGCTACTAGGAGACAAAAAAACCAGTACTCTATTACAGTCTTACCACTCTTATTTTTTATATACTTGAGAGTGAAGACACAAATCACTTAAAAAAATTTGACTCCCTAATTCTCCCAAAGGATGTAGAAGGATAAAGTACCTTCTGAATGAAGCTTTTTAGGAGGACAGTTATTTCCTTTCCAAACACCTACTCCCCAGAGACTTAAATGGAACACAGCTCTGCCCCACCTGATCCCTTCTCCTCAAAGATGATGATCCACAGGCAGCACAATAGCAGAAGGGCCAGAACCTCTCAAGCAAAGCGAGACACCCTTGGGACTCTCTTCCCCAGCAAGGCACAGTGCTTGGCCCTCCTCCATCCCTTCTTTAGCAAGGATTTTTGATTAAGAAGGTGGTTAAGGCGATTTGCCTTTGCTTAAGACAAATCAGGTAACTTGCTGAACAGTTTAAAGACAAAGTTCAGAATCTCTGGTAATTTCCTGAAATTCCATATGATTATTCAAATCTGGCCAAAACTTCTGATCTGACAGTGCAGTAGCAAAGATGCCCAGATTTGCTTAGTCTGCTATTACAAACACTCTGACAAAGTAACAAACATTTTTGTCCTAGAGGCAGTAAAATAACAGATCTGTATGACCCAAGGGATGAAACTTCTGTCAGTGTTTACTTAAGGACCAGGCAACACATCTAGTTTCAGATTTTCTTCCCTTTAATGCAACTACAAGGTGCCTTTGTAAATCATTAACTCTGACCTAATGTAAGTTTCCATTTCAACTGATACTTATGTGGACTATTTTAATAAAACATGTAATCAAATCTCTCTCTCCAAAGGACTAACAGAAAGACAGAATGGACAGTACAACATACCCACCTGACCTTTTAGCTAAAGAGGAAAAAAAAAAAAAAAAAAAATCAAACAGCACCCACATGAACTTACAGGAGTGTAGCCTACCTGCAGCTTCCTATGCTTACAAATACTTTAAGGGGGATATTCTAAACTGTAGTTTTCTTGTTACCAGCTTAGCATCAGCTTTTTGTTGAAATGTTCAGAGTTTTTCTTCCAATTTCTCAAACATGGCAATGCTTAAGGCTAAAGTCAAAATATTTGAATTAAATAAAAGTACAAATAAACCCACATTATCACAGTATATATGCTCTGCCATATGGATTTGTATTATAGGAGATGAGTAGCTTCTTCATGAAAAGCTCTGTAAGTAAGTTTTGTTCATATGTAAATTAAGTTACACTGGAAAAATGTCTTTGCAAATAGTTACTAAGATAACTGCAGTAAATATCCATCTCCTAAGCTGACAAGCACAGATGAGGAATAGCACTGCCACCTATGTATCCTCCAGCTGCAGTGGTGGGAAGTAGGAGAGGTCCCTGCTCCTTGAGCCACAGGTGGAAAGCTCAGCTTGAGAAAGCTGGCAGGATGAGCGCAACAGAATTTTTAAGGCTAACCAGACAGAAGGACAGAAGGCCTTATGGATGCAACTTCTGGATGCAACAATCGATACACTTTAGCATTAATACTGTAAGATCAGACCTTGTATTGATTAAAGGAAGATTAGGTGGCAAAATATGAGCTTCGCTGAAGCACATAACATTCAGATCTGCATTTCAATCCTATGAAGTAAAGTATAAATGTAGGTATGTAACTAAAGAATGCTGACATTATCTGTGGATATTTCACATCCTGTTTTGTTTTGGAAACTGGCAGAAGTTATGCCAAATTAAAAATAGTTTCGAGCACAGACCAAGTCTCCACCAGACAAATTTATGGATACAGCTACAGGCAGCATTTATTCAAATATCTTGCCTAAAAGGATAAATTATTTTTACAATCAATGTTATCCCCTCACAAAGCAGTAAAGTAAGGAATCCTTCCTTCCACATTAAATGCATGCCAGTGTTACCCAATGAATAATGGCTCAAAAGAGTCACACACACTTAGGTTCATCACCTCCATTTACAGCTGTCATGGTCCAGCCTTTGTGGGTTAAGCCAAACCAGCACATTCTTTCCACAGCCAAGCTCACCTTGTCGCATGAGGCTGAAATGCTTATATGCTAAATGTCAACACAAATATAATGGGAACTTGTTCCTGTCCCAGCAGCCACCATTACTAGTGCAAAACATACCTTTTCAGATTGGTAGGGAAGACGCAGTGCTTGCTCCAAATCGTCAGTCTCAGTGAATGCTTTTTTTACTGGAAAAGCATAAGCCTCAACCAAAATTCAGAGCAGCACCAGGGAAAACTGCTCAGGTCTCCCTTGGTTGCATGTGTACAGCACTTGCAGCAATGCAAGTAATGCTGGAGCACAATGACAGTAACGCCAGAGTCCCCAGCTTCCACAGTTCTACTTGACAGCTTTTACTTGTCTAAGCATATCTCCTACTGTATAGGAGCCAACATTTTTTTCTGAGCGTTACTCCTTTTATCTTTTAACTACCTTTACCCATTGATGACAAAGTCTACACCTTAAAAATACTTCTAAAAAATATTACAGCATATGGACTAAGAAGTAAATAAGTCTTTATTCTTGTAGGGTGTTAGAAAAATCAAGATAAGTAACAGTGAAACCTTGGGGGCTAGCATACATATTTTGTTCAATAACTGGAACTAAGGGAACTCCTCTCTCCACAACTTTGAAGGTAAATCCAAAACATTTAATTCAATTGTCAGGCAAACTCCAATCTGAAACATGACAGAGGACTAACTAGTTTCTCTTCTTAGTTAAAATTGCAGAAAGTATAAGGATTGTTTTAAAGAACACAGGCCCCACTTCAAAAAAAATATCTCTTTCTCACTGCAACAAAAGCCAAATCCTTGAATAAAGAACAAGTTTTATCTACGCAAAGACTAGGATCTGTCAGGAATAGAAGGTGATTTCCAACAACTCATGTTGATGGGCACATTCTCTGCTGCTAGTGTATACTCTCTTCCAATACTGAATACTGATGAAGCGGTAAAATCAGCCTATAAGCAAGGCAGAAATTTACTTATGCAAACTATAGGACTGGGGAAAAAAAAAATTAAGATACAAATAAACATTATTACACTGATGCTACATAAGCTCCTATTCTACACATTGTAAGATGAACATAAAACAGCAGGTAATGCTTGAATGGGAAGATAAAACTGAAGCCACAACAAAAACATTGAAATCCACTTTGGTGGCAGTTCTCACT